GGTCTACTCTGCATACCTGCACTCATTGTAAGTCAAAGGCAACTAACAACAAAAATAACAACAGTGAAATACTTTGTACATCATGAACATTCAGTAGACATTTGTGGTGGTGAGCTTCAACTTGAATTTGACTTTACAGTTTGTTGTTATTATTTGGTACTTTCGAATCAGAAGTGACTCACAGCTGACTTTCCAGCAGGTTTTGAGAGATGGTAAACCATATAGGAGGAAATTGCCCATCTTTCTCCTGCAGAGCAGCTGGTGGATTCGAGTCACATGCCGTTGGGTTGACAGCTCATTTCCTTACCACTAGGCCATAAGAGCTCCCTGGACTTTACATACATGTGACCTATAATGTTGTTAGGTGTTATGTCAGTCTGCTCTGATTATAGCAACTCTACAAACAATAGGACAAATCCTATTCGATCTTCACCACACAATTCCTGCTGTGTTTCAATCCATTGTTGCAGCCACTGTGTTAATCATCTCATTGAGGGTCTTCCTCTTTTTTTGCTGACTCTCTACCAAGCATGACTGGCCCTCTTAAAAACATGTCCAAAGTATGTGAGACTATAGAGTTGATAAAAAGAAAATTTAAAAACCCAACAAAGTATGTAAGACTGAGTCTCGCCATCCTTGCTTTTAAGTTATATTCTAGCCGCACTTCTTCAAGACAAATTTGTTTGTTCTTTCAGCAGTCCATAGTCAACATTCAATTTAAAGGCATCAATTCTCTTTCAGTCTTCCTTTTTCATAAGTGTATTAGGTAGTAGAACAGTATGTTTAAACTGGATCTCTGCCCATTATTATACAATGAAATCAATTTAGCAGGCCAGAAATAGAATACTTAAATAAGAAAACAGAAATAGAATAGAAAGTAATAAGTAGTAAGATAAGTATTATTTTTTAAATTTGTTTTAACACATTTTTATACTGGATTGACATCATTTTTTTATATACTGTAGACATAATTTTAAAAGGTGAACCAAAATCTCTGCATATGTTATTTCAGGTAACACAAGCTCCTTGATGAGATAAAACAGATCTAACACACTCTCTAACCTTATAAAGAATGAGCAAAGCCCCTATTTGAGCTCACTCTTCACAGGAAATGCAGAGGAACTGAAAAGCAGACTCAAGGCCAACAGCAAGGTCTTCTCTTTGCGTGAGCTTCTCTTCTGTTAAGGAGCTCTGAAGATATCGTCTGTGGCAGGTTACACTGCTAACCAAGAAAGTGTGTATTGACAGTGGTTCACCAATGTCTCTTCAGGAAAAGATGGGCAGCCTGAGAAAAACTCAGTGAAGGAGTCACTGTTAATAAGAATAGACTCAATGGTAGTAAGTTTGAATTGAGTTTTACGTTCTCCCCAAAGTACTGAAGCACAAAGATGTCAGTTTGGAGATTAAAGTGTGCCTGATCCAGGCCATGGTCTTAGCAATTACTTGTTATGCAGCAGAAATCTAGACAATGACTAGGAATGACAGAAGGAGAACTTATGCCTTTGAGCTGTGGTTCTGGAGAAGAGTATTGTATATACATGGAATGCTAGGAGAACAGCAAATTCGTCCTGGACGGGTTGCTCTTGGAGGCAAGAATTCTGACGCTCCATCTGACATACTGTGTACATATTGCAAGGAGGAACCAGTCCTTGGAGAGGGACATCACACTTGGGAAGGTGGAGGGACAGTGCAAGAGAGGAAGACCCTTGATGAGATGGATTGATTCAGTGACTGGGGTAATTGAAGTAGGTGTGTCAGAGACAGTGAGATTGGCACAGGATAGAGCAGGGTTTAGGGCTGTTGTGCATAGGGTTGCTATGAGTCACAGGCGACTCAATGGCATATAACAACAGCAATAATAACTAATAACTGTCATCAAATTATAACCGACTGATCCATAGGTGAGTTCACAGAGGCTGTAAATTGCACAGAAGGAGACTAATTATCTTTCTGCCCGGGAGCACTGGTGGATTCAAACCACCTGCCTTTGACTTGATAATGCAAGTCCCCGCTCACTAGGTCACCAGAGTTCTTCTCATCTATTGTTGTTGTTATGTACCATCAAGTGGAACTTCCAGTGGCATTTTAGAGGCTGTAAACTATGCAAAGGCCTTTGACTGTGTGGATCATAACTAACTGTGGCTGACTCTGAGAAGAATGGGAATCCCAGAACATTTAATCGTGCTAATGCGAAACCTATGGACCAGGAGGCAGTCGTCAGAACAGAGCAAGGGAACACTGCATGGTTCAAAATTGGGAAGGGCGTATGCCAGGGATGCGTCCTCTCTCCATACCTTTTCAACCTGTATGCAGAATAGATTATTCAGGAGGCTGGGCTCTATGAGGAGAAATGTGGGATCAAGATTGATGGAAGATCTATCAACAGTTTGCGTTACACAAATGACACAACCCTGCTTGCTGAAACTGCAGCCTCCAATGTGGGTTGAGGTTCAATGTCAAGAAGACAAAGATTCTCACCACTGGGCCAATTGACAGCATCAGGATGGATGGTGAAGAGATTGAGATTGTTCACAGATTCAGTTTGCTTGGCTCCACAGTCAACACTCTTGGCACCAGTAGCCAGGAAATTAAAAGGCTCATTGCCATGGGAAAGTCTGCTGTTAGGGACCTCACAAAAGTACTAAAGAGCAGTGGTGTCTCCCTGGAGACTAAGTTGTGTCTGATACAGGCCATGGTCTTTGCAATCACTTGTTATGCATCAGAGAGTTGGATAATGACCAAGGAGGATAGAAGGAGAATTGATGCCTTTGAGCTGTGGTGCTGGAGAAGAGTATTGAGAGTACCATGGACTGCTGGGAAAACAAACAGATTTGTCCTGGAGGGGGTTAAACCGGGTGGCTCCTTTGAGGCAAGGATTCTGAGGCTCCATCTAACATACTTTGGACATGTTGTAAGGAGAGATCGGTCCTTGGAGAAGGACATCATGCTTGGGAGGGTGGAGGGACAATGCAGGAGGGGTAGGCCCTCTATGAGGTGGATTGATTCAGTGACTGGGGTTATCGGGATGGGAGTGTCAGAGACAGTGCGATTGGCACAGGACAGAGCAGAGTTTAGGGCTGTTGTACATAGAGTCGCTTTGAGTTGCAAGCGACTCGACAGCACATAGCAACAAACTGCATTGAAGAAGATTGCCTATCTTTCTCCCTCAGAGCAGCTGGTAGATTCAAACCATGTATCTTTGGGTTGACAGCACAACTCCTTACCACTAAGCCATCAGAGCTCCTTTCGTCTCTAGGAGAGAAAAAATAAACTCATAAGAAATACAAATATCACAAGAAAGCAGCACTGGAGCCATAGAATAGGCTTTGAATTTAGAGTCAAATGACCTACATCAAAGTTCTCACTGCCACTTTGATTATCTAGTAACACATCTCTGTCTGACACACTTGAGCCCATTGCTATAGCCACATGGTCAGTTCATCTCATTGGAGGTCTTCCTTTTTTGCCCATTGCTGTAGCCACATGGTCAGTTCATCTCATTGGAGGTCTTCCTTTCTTTCACTGATCCTCTACTTTTCCAAATATGATGTCCTAAGGGAGGGGATTTCCTAGTAACATGCCCAACGTATATGAGACAAAGTTTTCATATCCTTGCCTCCAAGGAGCATTCTGGCTGCACCTTCTCCAAGACATATCTGTTTGTTCTTTTGGCAGTCCATGAGATTTTCAGTACTCATCTTCAACACCACAGCTCAAAGGCATCAATTCTTCTCCTGTCATCTTTACTCAGGGTCCAAGTCTCAGATGCATAGCAAGTGATTGAAAAGACTGTGGTCTGAATCGGGCACATCTTTGTCTTCAAACTGGTATCATTTCTCCTCAATAATTTCGAGAGCTGTCTCCTACTCTTAGCAGCATGCTGAAAAGTTTGTGTCCACCCCTGACCTTCCAAGGGTGTTTCTCCCCCTTTCTTTGCTTTTTCTTTAACTCCTTTTACAGCCTACCTATCTTTCATCAACCATGTCTTCTTTGCATTCAACTTTTTACACTTGTTTTTCTAAATTCAAAAAAATTGTAATAATTTGGAGAGGTCCCTGAGAGATATTTTTCCCAATGCAATCTGTCTCCTAATCTCATGACTGCTGATACAAAGGGTGTTAAAGTAGATCTAAGTAAGATTAGATCAATGACAACTTCAAACTTTTCTCCATCTATCAAGATGTTGCCTATCAGTTCACTGTGAGGATTTTGTTTTGTTGATGTTGAGATATAATCCATATTGAAAGCTGTAGTCTTGGGTCTTCTGCAGCAAGCACTTCAAGTCCTCCTCACTTTCAGCAAACAAGGTTGTGTTATCTGCATTGTGTCCTCCCAAAATATGTGTATGTAGTAATAATTGTTGTTGTTGTTGTAATGTGCCATCAAGTTGCTTGAAACTCAAAGCGACCCAATAAACAATAGCTCTAAAGCCTGCCCTGTCATGAGCCAGTCTCACTGAAGCTGACACACTCACCCCCTTACTCCAGTTACTGTGTCAGTCCATCCAGGGTCTTCCTCTCCTGCGCTGTCCCTCCACCCTTCAACCATGATGTCCATCTCCAATAATTGGTCTCTCCTGGCCATGTGCCCAAAGTATGTGAGACAGAGCATCAAAATCCTAGCCTCCAAGGAGAAACTTGGTTTCACCCTCTCCAAGACAGACCTATTTGTTTTCTTGGTGGTACATGACATGGTGAAGGTTGAAGACTGTAGTTTTCAATATGGATTGAAGCTTAACATCAAGAAGACAAAGATTCTTTTTTTTTTTTTTGAGAAAAACAAAAAATTTATTTGCATAACAGTAAAAATTACATATCATACAATAGTTTACATATGATGTCTGATCATAATATTGTCTGTCAAAAATAATTTTATCATTGTTTAAGAAACCATCTAATGGTATTTTTTCAAACTGTAACTTTCTCCAAAAGAAGAAATGCCCTCTTGCTCTTACTAAAAAAAAAAAGCTTTCTCTTAGAAGAAAACGGAGATTTGGTACATTATATTTTCTTCTTTTTTCTCTTGTTTTCCAATGCTTTAGCCATTGTCCTCTTCTTGGGTGACACTAGGCTATTTCCTTTCTTTTGCAGACCTTGGTGTCCAGCTAAACAAGATTTCTTTGCGTTAGGTCTAGGCTGCCCTCCTTCTTCTTGTACTTCATTACCAAGTCCCTTCTGGTTGACTGGAGGCTGTTCCTCTTTACTTACAACAGAAGGCTCTGTAGCTCCAGGGAGGCTTTCCTTCGTGTCTGTCACTCTGTCCAACCACACTCCCAAGCAGGTTAGTCGGGCTTTAGTATTTACTTCACAGAGTAGAGATGGGGAAACTTTCTTATCCTGGTGAAGCTTCCACATCTTGAGGAAACCATCATTTGACGCACTAACAATGACGTGATGCTCCGGAATTTCAAAAGCGAGTATGTCTTTCACCCTGTTTTCATGAGCTTTAAATTCACAGAGGCATATTAGTGAATCACAGTCAAAAAACCGTATGACTTCTTCATCTCCTGCTACTCCAAGGACAGACTCAGAAAGAAATGTAACAGACGAGATTCTTCTCTGATTCGTGATGGCACCACTAATAGACGCAGTGTCCAGTTGGTAGATGTCTATTTTATTCACTGTGACTACTATGTATTTTTC